CTACCTGATCAGGTGTATCCTAGAACCCTGTGGGAAGTTAGGGAAGTGATTGCTAGGCGCCTTGCTGAGATATTTGTATCATCGATAACCACAGGTAAGGTGCTGGAAGACTAGAGGTTAGCTAACGTTTTGCCACTATTTAAAGGTGGTAAGGAAAAACCAGAGAACTATAGCCAGGTGAGCCTGACATCAGTGGTGGGGCAACTTGTTGAAGGGGATCCCGACAGACAGACACGGACTGATTAGGGATCGTCAATAGGGCTTTGTGCATGGGAAATCATGTCTCACTAATTTAGTTGAGTTTTTTGAAGAATTAACGAAGAGGATTGATGAAGGCAGAGCAGTGGATGTGGTCTAGAAGGACTTCAGTAAGGCGTTCATCAAGGTTCTGCATGGTAGACTGGTTAGCAAGGTTAGATCACATGGAATACAGGGACAACTAGCCATTTGGATACTGGCTCGAAGGTAGGAGACAGAGGATGGTGGTGGAGGGTTGCTTTTCAGACTGCTGGCCTGTGATCAGTGGTGTGCCACAAGGATCGATGCTGGGTCCACTGCTTTTCATCATTTCTATCAACGATTTGGATGTGAACATAGGAGGTAAGTAAGCTTGCGGATGACACCAAAAGAGGTGTCTAGTGGATGGCGAGGAAGGTTATCTCAGAGTTTAACAAGATCTTGATCAGATGGATCAGTGGGCCAAGGAGTAGCAGATGGAGTTTAATTTAAATAAATGTGAGTTGTTGCATTTTGGAAAGGCAAATCAGGGCAGGACTTATACACTTAATGGTAAGTTCCTGGGGAGTGTTACTGAACAAAGAGACCTTGGAGTGCAAGTTCATAGTTCATTGAAAGTGGATTCTCAGGAAGATAGGATAGTGAAGAAGGCATTTGGTATGCTTGCCTTTATTGGTCAGTGCATTGAATATAGGAGTTGGGAGGTCATGTTGCGGCCAGGCCACTTTTGGAGTACTCTGTTCAATTCTTGTCTCCCTGCTATAGGAAGGATGTTCTTAAACTTGAAAAGTTTCAGCAAAGATTTACAAGGATATAGTCAGGGTTGGAGGGTTTGAGCTATAGGGAGATGCTGAATTGGCTGGGGGTATTTTCCCTGCAGCATTGGAGGCTGAGGGGTGACTTCATTGAGGTTTTTAAAATGATGAGGGGCATGGATAGGGTGAATCGCCAAAGTCTTTTCCCCAGGGTGGCTGAGTCCAAAACCAGAGGGTATAGGTTTAAGCCAAGTGGGGAAAGATTTAAAAGGGACCTAACGGGCAATCTTTTCATGCAGAGGGTGGTGCATGTATGGAATGAGCTGCCAGAGGAAGTGGTGGACACTGGTATACCAATCTGGATGGGTATGAGAATAGGAAGAGTTTAGCAGGATATGGGCCAAATGCTGGCAAATGGGACTAGATTAATTTAGGATATCTGGTTGGCATGGACGAGTTGGACGAAGGGTCTGTTTCCATGCTGTACAGCTCTAGGATTCTATGACTCTATCTGTGTTCACTTTCAACGATACGTGTAACAACTCAGAAGCAGCGATAGATCAGAAAATCAGATGGAGGGAGGAACTCAGAAAAACACCAGTGAAGTTGTGCTGGGCAGGCCATTTGGCCCATCAAGTCCACACCGATCCTCCAAAGAGCATCCCACCCAGAATCACCCCGTCCCCACCCAATTCCCGTAACCTTGCATTTCCCATGGCTAATTCACCCAACCTACACATTCCTGTACACTGTGGGGCAATTTAGCACGGCCGATCCACATAACCTGCACATCTTTCGACTGTGGGAGGAAACCTACTCAGACACAGGGAGAATGTGAAAACTCCACGCGGATAGTTGCCCGAGAGTGGAATCGAACCTGATTGCCTGGAGCTGTGAGACAGCAGTGCTGGCCACCGAGCCACGGTACCACCTCAGTTGGAGTTGCAGGCTGAACAGCGCCCGGTCAAGATGACCTCATCCTAGAGTCTTAGAAGGAATAGTTAGTGACCACAGTCAATGCATTGGTTTTAATTTTCCAACTAACCCTAGATTCGGGAAGGTCCCATTGGATTGGAAGCTACCAAATGTAACTTCTATATTCAGAAAGGGAGATGGGCAGAAAGCAGCAAACTACAGGCTAGTTTACTTAATATCATAGGAAAAATGATAAAAGTTGTTATTAAAGCAGTTGTAACAGGGCATTTAGATAAGTTCAAGGTAATCAGGCAGATTAAATATGGTTTTGTGAAAGGGAAATCAAGTTTAACCAATTAATTTTTGGGGAGATAATGTGCAGTGAATAAAGGGGAACTGGTGGATGTACTGTACTTAGATTTCCAGACGGTATATGATAAGATGCCAAATCAAAGATTATCGATGAAAAATAAAAGCTCGTGTTGGGAGTAGCATATTTTTAAAACATTAATTCATGGGACATGGGCATTGCTGACTGGGCCACCATTTATTGCCCACCGCTAGTTGCTCTTCATAAGGTGGTAGTAAGCTGTCTTCTTGAACCTCCGCAGTACATTTGCTGTAGTTAGATGCACAATGCAATTTGGGAGGGAGTTCCAAGATTTTGACCCACCAACACTGAGGGAAGAGTGATATATTTCTAAGCCAGGATGGTGAGAAGTCAGGTTGGGTACTTAAAGGTGGTGGTGTTCCCATACATCTGCAGCCTTCGTCCTCTTAATGGTTGTGGATATGGAAGATGCTATTTAAGCTGTTTGGTGAATTTCAATTGACATGGAAGAAAGATTGGCTGGCTAACAGAAAGCAGAGAATAGGGATAAATGGTCCTTTTCTCTTTGGCAAGATCTAACAGATGAGTTGTCACAGGAATTAGTACTGGAATCTCAACTATTTATAATTTAAATAAATGACTTAGGTGAAGTGATAGAAACTTTGGTTGCCAAATTTGCTGATGACATAGTGATAGGAAGGAAAGTATGTGGTGAAGAGGTCACAAGGAAGTTATAAAAAGATGTTAATTGGTGAAATGCATGAGCAAAGATGATAGGGCAATTTGGAAAATGTGAAGTCTTCTAAAGTTTTGGAAAAGATCTGTAGCTCAGGTTGTGGGTGAGGTTGTTGACTTGCTCGCTGAGCTGGCTTGTCCTTGTTCAGACATTTCATCACCATGCTAGTGAAGCCTCCAATGGAGTGATGTTATTCTACTCCACTTGGAATAACACCGCTTCATCGGAGGCTTCACTGATGATGTCACCTAGCATGGTGAGGAAACGTCTGAACAAAAACAAGCCAGCTCAGTGAAGTCTTCTATTTTGACAGGAAGGAAGATATACTAGCATTGGAAGCAGACCAGAGAAGATTCACTAGGCTGGATGGATGGACTGCTTTATGACAAGAGGTTGAGTAGGTTGGGTCTATACTCACTGAGCGCTTGAAAGAATGAGAGACAACCTTTTTGAAACACAAGATTTAGGGGACGGACATAGTAGAGGCAGAAATGTTGCTTGTCCTCATGGAAGCGTTTCAAATCACAGGACATAATCCTCAGAATAAGGAGATTTAAGACAAAGATGAGGAGGAATTTCTTCTTCAGGGGATTGTGAATCTATAGAATTCTATACCACAGAGGGCTGTCGAGGCTGAATTGTTAACTATATTCAAGGCTGAGATAAACAGATTTTTAATCCATAAGGGGATGAAGAATTATAGGAAAAAGGCAGGAAAGTAGATTTGAGGATTATCAGATCTGCCATGATCTCATTGAATTGCAGACTCAATGGGCCGAATGGCCATCTTCCACTCCTACAAATGATAGTCTTCTGCTGAACAGAGATACTTGGGTAAAGGGTGAGATGCTGAAGATGAAAATGTCATTCTCTTGGTCTCAAAATTTTGGGCCTTATTTACAGCCATAAAATGTTTGAATAGATCTGTAACCACTGTAATGGAATCATGGCGAGTGACTGATGAACAGGACTGCATTTTCTTGGCTCCACATTTACCTCAAGTCTGCGTCGTATCTTTTAATGTATTGTAAATTAGTGTTAGTGTGCATGGAATGTAGTAGTCAAAAAGTAGATTTAGTAGGAGTGTTTAGGGCAAACCACTATTCAATGTAATCAGGCTAGAATGGTGAAGTTTGCTATCCAAGTTATTACTGAGTTCACCAATCACTGCAGAAAGAATCATAAATGGAATTCTGTTGTATCATTTAATTCAGCACACATGTTTACTATCAAGACTTGGATCCAATTCTGTAGTTGTTACACTATGTCTCTGGCTAAGTTACAAAGGAAAAGCAATCTAACACAAATTGATCCTATAAACCGATCAGCAACCTAACTCCACCAATTCAACACTGCCCCAAACCTTTCATGCCTCAGGTGAACAAAAGCTCAGATTTAAAATTAACGCTTGACCAAACATCAATTGCTGCTTGTCACATTGATATGAATCATCTTGGAATTATATAACTCTGTCAGCATCTCTTCACAAAGTGGCCTATCTTTG